TGGCGGAGGTGCGCATGCGCACCTGCGCACCAGTTATGTGCAGCCCTGCTTATTATGCTCCTGCAGGGGTTTTGCTAGAAAGATATAGTATGGGGGCGCTGATCTTGTATATAATATATACAGGGTTGGGAGGGTTACTATGTAAATGTGTTAGTGCCTGAATACTGAATACATGGCTCTGAAAGAAATCCGAATCCGAATACTGTTACGTGTCTTAAAAACACGTATTTTAGAATACCTTTGGAATACTTTATTTTTCCTTAACAGATGGGTATGTTTTAGTGAACAGGAGACACGTATTTTACTGTTTTAATGGCTTATCAAGAACACAACTCAAACACAACATCTTGGTGTCATTCTGGACAGCTCCCTCTCATCTGCACCCCACATAAAAAACATCACCCGGACTGCATTCTTCTCCAGACTCCGCCCTGTCTCAATCCAGCACTGAAGTCCTGGTTCATGCATTCCTCACATCCCGTATTGACTATTGTATTAACATGCTCTCAGGCCTTCCCATCAAACTCCTCAAAAAACTTCAAATGATTCAGAACTCTGCAGCCCGGATCATCACCTGCACCAAGTCCTCTGACCACATCACCCCATATTCTAACCACATCACCCCCATCCTCTGACCACATCACCCCCATCTTCTAACCACATCATCCCATCCTCTAACCACATCAGCCCCATCCTCTGACCACATCACCCCCATCCTCTGACCACATCAGCCCCATCCTCTGACCACATCACCCCCATCCTCTGACCACATCACCCATCCTCTGACCACATCACCCCATCCTCTGACCACATCACCCCCATCCTCTGACCACATCACCCCATCCTCTGACCACATCACCCCATCCTCTGACCACATCACCCCATCCTCTGACCACATCACCCCATCCTCTGACCACATCACCCCATCCTCTGACCACATCACCCCCATCCTCTGACCCACATCACCCCATCCTCTGACCACATCACCCCATCCTCTGACCACATCACCCCATCCTCTGACCACATCACCCCATCCTCTGACCACATCACCCCATCCTCTGACCCCATCACCCCCATCTTCTAACCACATCACCCCCATCCTCTGACCACATCACCCCATCCTCTGACCACATCACCCCCATCTTCTAACCACATCAGCCCCATCCTCTGACCACATCACCCCCATCCTCTGACCACATCACCCCCATCCTCTGACCACATCACCCCCATCTTCCAACCACATCAGCCCCATCCTCTGACCATATCACCCCCATCCTCTGACCACATCACCCCCATCTTCTGACCACATCACCCCCATCCTCTGACCACATCAGCCCCATCCTCTGACCACATCCGACAGTCTGACACAATCACCACATTCACGTCCCTCCTCAAAACCCACTTGTTCAGATCAGCCCACTCACAGTAGTGCTACATGTCTCCTGTCCTTTTATTACTGTCTTAAACCTTTCCTTACAATATTTTATGAATTGTAAGGTGTCCTTGGGTGCTTTGAAAGGCGCCTCTAAATAGAATGAATTATTATTATTATCTGAAACAATGTTTTTCCAGTCACTTGCCCCATGCATTCAGCAGGGGGATACTAGTCGTGACCATCTGGTTTCCAGTTCTGGGAAAAGTGCTGCTCATGTTCAATAGGCGCATTCACACCGCAGTACTTTTCCCACAAAGGTTCATGAGAACTTAGTTCATGAGAACTCTTTAGTTCTCATGCCTAAGTACAGATCGCGTTCACACCGGAATAAGTCCCTGGGGGAGGATTAGGCAAATGAAGCCACTGACGTCACTTCTTCTTCTTCTGCTTTGGGTTTACTGGCAGGCCGCAAACCACTTCACGGCGTATAATGCCGCCCAAAGTCCCCGGCCGGAAGTCCCCGGAGTTGGGGACTGGCTTCAGTAGAAGCTGCTGGGACTCCCAGCAGCTTCTACTGAAGCCTTCCGAGTAAATCGCCAGAACGCCGACACCTCCTCCTCATCTCCACCACTCCCATGTTTTATTTTGTGTTGCCATAAGTTAGTCTCTCTGCGTTTCTGCGCTGGGCTAATGCTAATAATGCTAATGCGAGGATGATAAAATGGCAGCTTCACAAAACTTTTTGGGAGTTTTACGGGGCGTGGTTTGCAATCCGCCCAGCCAATCAGACATAGGAACCTTTTTCTCCCACGAAAGTCCCTGCTCTCTAGCAGGGACGGAAAAGGGGGTGAAAAGGTTCTCATGAACTCATTTTAGTACCGGCTCTTTTTGGTGTGAACGCAACATTTCGGAACTATATCGGAACTAAAGTGGGAAAAGTACTGCGGTGTGAACGCGCCTAATGATACTAATTGGTCCAGGAGGGGGCGGTTAGGGTAAAAAGAACAAAAAAGGACAGTAAAGCATAATATCTAAAAAGATTCAGTTGGATTTCTCAACATGTAATTTTGGAAGAAGAAGAAAATGGAGCCTTATTCTTTATTTTATCCCATGTTCTCAATCGAATAAACTGGTGTAGGCATGGAGAGAGGAACAGGGAGAACTTGGCAAATCAGTCACTTACCCATCACTTTAACGAAGTAGGCATCAGACTCGAAATTGTTCTTCAAAGCGTGGATGATCAAGTCACTTTTGCCCTCTGCCTGGCTCAGAACCAGCATGTCTAATATACCCTGCAAATGAAGACAGGCATTTAGATAAGGGACAATGGGAGCAGGCTGTGTGTGTCTTCTGATGTACATTTTCATCCCCCTTACATACTGTGCGACTGATCCCACATTATCTTATCTATCTTATTCTTTTCCTTTTTCTCCTCCTCGCTACGTCTCTCCCTCCCAATTAGAAATTATCTCTCAAAGAGGAAAAATAGGCTGAATTTAACATTAGGTCTAATAATTAATTCTGATAAGACGGGCATACATAGCAGATTGCAAAACAGGCGAACATTCTGGGTGTGAGTGGGAGTGTGTGTAAGGATTTTGTGTGTGACACAGTGTGTGTTTTGAGGTATGTAATGTAGCTGCAAGAGTGCTTTTTTTTTTTTTTAAATGAACAAACAATTGTCCCAATGAATAGAAATCCAGGTTTAAACAAATGAAAAGATGATATTCAGGGTGAAAATAACAGCACGTATAGGAGGTGTAAAAGAAACACAATAGTGCTTTGTACTGTAAATACAAAGCCGTCAGATAAGGAGCAAAGCCGGCACACCAGCTACCGCTACTTTAAACAACATTGCTGATTAGAAACAAGCACTAAGTAATCACAACATAGTCTCGTACTCAGTCCAATTCCAGAGTATTTGTTCTGAGCATGAAAGATGAAGCAAAAACTTTAATCATTTTGTCGACGTCAGTGTTTGAAAAAACTATATACGTAATCCACATGACTGTATTAGAGAAATCTAATAATCCTGTGTTCTCTTTGGGATTGATACATTTTCTTAAGTACTATAGAAATAGTCAAAAAGGGGTTGACTTTTTGTGGCATATTCAACTATTTGATACCAGTATTATTGTAGATGCCAGTACTTAGACAGTGTCGATTTTGACCGTGTTTACACTTGGTTTTAAAATGTGTGTTTGCTGATCATATCCCTATTGGAGAGCAGTAAATGCAACATAAACAAGCCAGGGTGATCCGATCACTAATACTACTAGCAGGGGACGCATTTGACCAAATATCTCTGGTATTGTACTTGCTAATGCATTCGAATGCATCTCTGACAAGTATGCAGGGCTGTATGATTTTTAGCATTTATTTTTCACGATTATTGGTTTTGGCATATATTTTATTGCAATTTTACAATTAAATTCCATTTGGTGCTGCATTCCTGCTAATGTACACATATTTGCATCAAAATAAGAATTGAAATACAGTTATTTCCTGGAATTCAGTGCATTTTAGTTTTGGCGGTCTGCTTTCAGTTGCATATTACTTCACTTCTACGTGAATGCCCTACAATGATGTAACAGGAACATACATCATCAAAGCCAGGCTTCTCCTTTTATTTCTCCTTTTTCTTATCTTCAGTTCTCAAATTGTGATAGCTTTCTTTGCCCATAACGTGTAACATTTTGAAAAAATAAATACAATTGGGTTAGCCTGGAGTACACCCAATATATATTTACTTGATGCTTCTTTCTTTTACGTCTATATCTACTGTTAGACAAGGCAAGGCAAGTCCATTGCCGCCTCCAGTTGGTTAAGAAAACAATGCATTTGGTCTTTGAGAACGGAAATTAAGTAAATCTTTTCATACGTAACGACTCAAGCATATATGTAGAGACACCTTTTATTTTGAGAACACATACTTAGATCTGAGACAGAATTAGAGAAAGGATGGTGTTTTATATTGAATGGTCAAAACAAGCTCCAGACAACATTAAATAAAACTCAACACAAACTACTTACGTCCTCATAGATGTCAAAGAATGTTGCCATGACAGCATTTTTGATTGCTCCCAAATCTGATTGGTCCCATTGGACTTCGAACATCCTTCCAACACTTTGGCAACCGGGGCTGTTACAGGGCACATTCTCCAACAAAAAGGCCTGCTGACCACTGAGATAGAAGGAAAAGTAAAGAGAGAGGGAGGGAAAATGCATGTTATCATTTGCATTTTAGAAGGGGACAATGGAGCATCTTGGTGCGGTGCATTCAGTGTTTTGGTGTTATGTCACATTGATCTGTGAAACATAATACTGCTGTAGTTGTAAACAATCCTTTTTTAATGTAAATGTCTCTGACTGAACTTCAAATGGTGATCTTTTTTAATTCAATGTAGCTATAACCAAATGACATTTGCTATATTTCAGTGAAGGCAGTTTCAAACTGAAATCATGGTTTTCTTACAATAATGTTATACACTGACCTCCTTTAAAACTGGCAATACAATTATTTTGTGAGTGAGCATTGAAGTTGAATTTTTATTTATCAGCTGAACCACCTCCACAGTTGGTAAGGTATACAATGAGAACACATTTAACAAGTGTGCATAATTGCACTTTCCACCCACACCTAACAAATGCTTTGGCAGAAATCTGAAGTTGCCAAAACTGTTCCAAACCAATGAGGAATCAGCCATTAGCCAGTTAGCAGGCTATCTACTAGCACTAGGCGGCTGTGTGCTCAGGGGGTAAATGGGAGTCTACCAATCAGAGGGTCAGTGGTTTGTTCCCCAGCTCCTGCAGCCAACCCCAAAGTGTCCTTATGTAAGACACTTAACCACACATGTTTAAGGTATTTAAGTGTATGTAAGTAGCTCTGGTTAAAAGTGTCAGCTACATTAATAACATGACATGTTGCAAGAAAGCCACTATTAAGCTAGCAGCAAGTGAGCTTGTCAAAAAGATTATTCAAGAGACTTGTGGATGAAGTCAAGTCTAATTTGAATTGGTCCTATGATAACATTCAGGCTGAACTTGGTGACAAACCAACTATGAAGCGGTATGTAAATGGTTCCTGGCTGGATTGTCAATGAAAATTGAATTGAATTGAAAACAAAAGGATGTGGCTTTCAGTGGTTTTGGGTTGCGCAGAGCAATCAGATCTAAATTGGATCTCATTGTGAGCAAATACTAATGCCAGGTATAAATGTGATCAGGGTTAAATCCTACAAACTGGATAAGAGACACATTTAAAATGCAAGGGTCACCCTCTTGTACAAATGGCATTTTTTATTTTATTTAAAAAGACTCAACCTAGACCCCTCTGCAACTACGAATTACCAGCGGTCTCCAATCTATGATTTCTCATTGAGTCGACGGTCCGTCAGTTTACAGCCCAACTGCTACACTTTTGTCAATCAGGGTTTGTGCAAAAAGGCAGTGCTGATGACCACCCATTTTAACAACAAATAATGATAATAACAATACTTTAAGAGTATATTGAATCTCTGGGGATTTGTTTCTAGCTTTAACAGAGACCTGGTAAAGGTCCACGAATGTCACTCATCTTTCAGTTTTTCAAAATAAGAGCATCAGTGTTAAACAGATTGAGAGCTGCCTTAGGCTAATGGCCCAAGCACCGGTGACGGAACAACATCCACAGGAACTGCTCTCTTGCTCTGCTGCACATATGTCTACCCAACTTAGGGAATAATTACCTTGCTACACATATAGCACAATTCACATGTGCATGCATTTGTGGCAAAACATTCCAATATTAACTTCTTTTCCACCAAATCATGTTTAGTCATTTTCTGCTATAATGGATATACAGGAACTGTGCATTGCTGTGACCACACCCTGTGTTTGGCCTGTTTCTTTGGGTGTACAAGTGGCAGTTAATTTACGCTAAAACTAAACACAACGACTTTGATGCTAATTCTTTCTCCACCGCTCTATCTATGCTTTGTGTGTTTAGCATTTGGCACCATCTCCCTTTAACTCTCATGGGAGATTGAATCCTCCCTTTCTCCATCTATTTCTTTCTTTGGAGATGGCTCCCTGTACCTGCTCTTAGATCTCCGTGGGAGTGGAGAAGGGAAAAAAAGTCTGTTGTCTAAAAATAGAGTAATTATTAAAGCCCTCCCTCTCTCAGGTTTACAGATGACTCTCCACTCTATCCCACTGCGAGTGTCTTGGGAGTGGAGTTGGAGGCAGACTACGAGGTAAAAGCTGGGTGGGACAGCTGTCGTCTATGATACTTTTAAAAACTTGAGGCTGTGTTGGAAAAACATAAAATGCGCCACACTTCCATGCTGCCACATATTCCAATTTCACAATGTCAGAAAAGGGGAATATTGCATTGTATAGTGTATGTATGTTCCTGGAGAACATGCTGATGGATTACCATCATTAATATGATACTCTCCCTTTTGTGGGGAATTGATATTGAAGTAATGTTAGATAGATTAGTTTTCAATTGCAATCAGTAAAAGCTAACGTCAGGTTTTAAACAAACTAGGCCACGGTCACTTGACTTTACTTCACCAACACCGATTAGTGTTCGAGATGATGTTAATGAAGTCTAATTTAGACCTTTTTTGCCTTCTTTGAGACAACAAAGGTGCAACTGTGGCTGTGGGGGAGTGCAGTCCTCTTTAAATCAGAAGGTTGTGGGTTCGATCCCAGCCCCTGCAGCGAACATGTCGGTGTATCCAATGTATACTTTACCCCGAGTTGCTCCAGATGGCATAGCCAATGGAGTGTGAATGTGTGTAAATGTTAGCTTCCTTGAGCAAGTGGCACTATATAAAAGGGGTGTGAATGGGATAATGATGACTTGTAAATGTGAAGTCATAAAGATGGATAGAGCGCTATAAAAATACAATTCATTTACCATAACCATTTTCTAAATTCACCATTGGGGTATTTACTGACATCATTTATATCGAAGAACAAAGAAAGAAACTCTCTTTTGCTTGGGCTTATGATAGGCCTTATGTCAGGCATGCAACCTAAATGCCATTGACTTTGGTGAAACTGCAAAACATGTACATTGTTTCTGGGTTTGTAGGATTAATTGCTGCAGCACTCAGCAGAAATATATGGCAATACAAAAATCAGTTACCAAAAAGTACCAAAGCCTCACATGATATTTCTGTTCCAAAATATCAACCTCACACGACTGAAGGAATTCATGTGGCACATTTTTTTTAAGTTTCTTAGCTTGAAACAGCAACTGATTGCTATGTAAGGATTAAGTGCAATATTGTGGTTCTTGTACAGGTAGGTGATAGTTACACATGTCACAAGGTCTAGATTCAGCAGCCAATGATAAGCATCTGTATTTAAAACACTGGAAAGTACAAGAAAGAGCAAGCATTTAATTAATTCCTAAAGCGGACTGCCTGAAGCACACAGATACAAAATAGCATCTGTTCGGATGACAATCCTCTATGCAGACATGCTGCTGTCTCAGGATGTCAGCATGATGTGCGCAGGGAGGAGGGGAGGGGCACGGCGGAGCTGGGGGCTTGTGCAGGATTAACTGACTTTGTCTGTGATTATACATATACGAGCGGGAGGGTTGTTTAAAGGTCATCCCGTGTAATCCATCATGACAGCATATGCACTACACCCTTCCTCCCTTCTCATTAGGCTGAAAGTTAACAGCACCCACACAATATGACCAGGTGCCACTAAGGACCTGCCACGGCAGCACCTAGTGGTCATGACACACTCCTAATGGTGAGCACTGATTGGCTCACCGGCAGTGAATCAGGCCTCCCGCTGCAGGAAATTGTCGCACCTTTTCAGCGGACGGAGTGTGTGAGTGTGTGTGTGTGTGTAGAAAGTTAGCTGTTTCAAAGTTTCGGTCCAAACTTTAGGAGACATGTGGTAGTTATTTACCGATGTGTGTGTCCTTTCTGAGATTTCTGTACTTCAAAGGAACCTCTCTCTAGCACTGCAGGGGGGGGGGGGGGGGAGTGTGTGGGTGAGAACATGCGCTTACGATGGATAATTAATGAAATAAAACATGCATTCGGCTAAAATAACACGTTAAAAGTAAGAATAATGTGCAATTTCAGCCACTGTCTGCACCAATGTTAGAATCATATTGTGTGTGTGTGTGTGTGTGTGTGTGTGTGTGTGTGTGTGTGTGTGTGTGTGTGTGTGTGTGTGTGTGTGTGTGTGTGTGTCTGGGGGCTTCAATTATTGTATGAACTTGGTGTCAGCACTGATACTGTAGGTGCGCGTGTAGGGAGTTTCTCTCTGTTCCTCGCTCCACCCGCCTCCCTTCTAATTGGCCTCGAGAGGGGTGGTCTGCCGGCTGGAGGCTGACCACTGATCACATGGACGACCCTCCTCTACCCCCGCCTCAGACCCTCCGAGAGACAGAGTCCACCTTTACCGTTACCCCATCTTTCCATCCATTCATCTCCCTCACACTGCGAGGCTACACATACCTGGCCACCACTTTGTTGATGTTTATTTTCTTTGTCATTTCCTCTTATCTGCTCATCTACTATCCTCCTCCACCTTTATATATCTACTCATCTGCTTTTGTTCCACATTTTCGCCCTCAAATCCCAACACCTACGACTCTCGCAAAATACCTTCAAGTCCTGTTTTGTGTTTGAGTGTTACGTGGGTGCATTTGATATTGCTTTTTTCAGTTTTGATGATGGAAGCAACACAGTGGTAGACTCATCTCTTCTTCTCTTGATAAAATGACCTTGCGTCCCTCTCTAAACTCTCTCATGTATCCTCCTACTCTACTTCACAAACCCCGTCTTTTGCCAAAAGTCATTTTCTAGGTGGGGTGGCTAAGCACTGTTTTTAGAACTTATAAATAAAATGGATTTTTGGTCAAAAGAAATAAACAGAACAGTTTTAAAAGTTTGTGGTGTATGGAAGTGCCAGGTAAAAATTACTGTTACGGTCTCTAACATTTTTTCTGGAAAATGTTATCTCCCACCAGTTAACCCCCGAGACTGTTTTTCAGGCCTCAGGCTCGAAAATGACATTCCCAGAACAATTGACTATATCTTCACTTCTAAAAAGGGGTTAATAATCTTTTCTCTCAAAGTAATGATAAACCTGTGAGTTGGATGTAGAAAAGTCAGAATCAATATAGATGTTTTTATTTTAAAGTAAATTCAGATTGAACATAGT